ATTTCTTATGCAACATTCATAAAGAGAGACGGCAGAATTTAGAGAGAGATCCTTGCAAACTGAGCACATCATGTTATCCCGTCATAGTGAATCCGTGGAAAACTCGCGGCACCGGCACTCGTTTTGTGGCTGAGCCGGCATCGATTGTGAGAGGACGCAAACTTCCCCGCTGTCGAGAAAATTTGAGAAGCAGTGAATTGTCGAGAAGCAGTGAGCTCCTACATTCATAATTCAGAGTTGTCGCAACAAGGACCAGAGAAAGATATTGGGTGAGATGTTACCGCCGTTATAAAGCTGCTGATCCGGGTTCGTAGAATCGAGTGGATCGCGTGAAAACTCGCGTGGCTGCAAGTGACCGGTTTAATGGCCGCCGTCTAAATCTGTAGAACTATGAGCCACGTGCCATCCACCCGAGTCTTGTCGTTAAGAGAAATACTAATTATCGATTCGCGCTTGCCTATCTTGCCACAGTCGGGTTAATTTTTTGTGTGTATCTTTGGTGCCGTGCCGAATCGATTATTGTAACCGATTATCGTGTGCTCGTTCAGATTCGCGTCGAAGTTACCTTCTCAGATAACGTACTTTGCTAAAAATATAAGTTCTTGTATGCCGTCGAGATTTCGTTAGCATTTGGTTGTCGTTAGCCACCTTCTGAGATGCTCGGAGAGTAAAGATTTAACAGTCTAAAGAACGATTGTCGACCCGGTGTTAGAATATAAGTTATTGTTGTCGCCCGCGGAAGTCGAATTGAGATAAGTCCTGGAAGCGAACCTCCGGATGTTACTTATAAGTCAGTCTACTGAATACAATTGTTATCTATTTCATTATAAATCTATGTGTGATTCTTGCAACATACTTCGTTCATCCTCCGACACCCCGTCGCGAATTGAAATTGTGTGCAATTAATTTAAAGTAGACGAAAATTATTGAAGCATGCTCTTTTGTGCCTGGCGAGTCGAGTGCTCAACTTGTTAGTGGAAAACTCTGATATTTGTAAAAAGTCTATCTGACTGTCAAGACCTTAAGCTTACCTCGTACAGAAATTCCTTTAAGTAAGAAAAAGTTATAGAGCACGCGAAGTTGTGCCGTCGCTCGCGAGCACGGTCACAGTATATCTCTTCAACATTAATATAGTAGATGTTAATTAAATAATATTTACAATGTCGGTGTGCGTTTTCCTTTATTAATCGAATTCTGAAATGTTTCTGTCCAATACTGAATGCTTTCAGATAGATATATATCACTCCACTGAAATTTATCCAATATTAACAGTTGTTCTTTAAAACTTTCTATATTTTCGGAACACATACATTTTTAAGAAAGCCAAAAATAATTTATAGATGACAGTCGCTCCGCCGGAGTTAACCGAACTCGTCCGAATTCCACCGAAATTATGTTTTCTGTTTGTATTGTTAATCGGCAGGAATCGCCGAACGATTCCGAAACAATATGAGCGGGAGCAACAATTAGTATAAAAGCCGAGTTTTCCTCGGCAAAACTCTTCTTTTTCCTGCCTGTTCCTACTCCGATTCCGATACCGATACTGAATTCTCCGGCCGCGAGTGAGAAAAGGTGGTAGAGCGTATTCTGCCACTATCGAAAGTTCTCGGCAGCAATCAATTAACATATCCTGAATTCGCTGCGAGAGCAATCTGAGACAGAGTGTACTCTGTTTCGCCGAACGTTCTCGACCGCCGATCAATTAATGCTAGTGCGACTGCATCGACAGGAATTTTTCATGACGGAGTGTACTCCGTCATGCCGAGCGTTCTCGGCTGTCGGCTTATTTTCCGCCGCTTCCTCTTCACGCACTGGCACGATTCCAGAGGTAGAGCGTTCTCTGCCTCTGTGGTGTTATCGATCGCCGGTTTCTTAAACCGGAGGGCCTCGACAATAGCAAAGGAATAAAGTTTTCTCCGCCTCCGCCGAGTGTTCTTGTCCATCGGGTGCCCAACACGCACTTGCAGTTTTCCCCATTGCATGGGGAAGACTCACGTGTTTACCACGACGGGAATCGTGAACGCGAACGCGACCGCGATTGGCTGGCGTGTATCCATATACCAGGCGTGCCGCGCTGTACGCCTGACTCGCATTTCGCGTCTTGCAATTAGCGCCTATATTGCGATCGACAACAGCCATCAGCGATGAAGCTAAGTCGGGGACCGGGAAGCTTAATCGGTGCTCCGTCGGCGCGGGTGGCATGTCCGCTTCCACTTCCATCTGCTCTCCGCTTTGCGAGGAGTTGAACAGGAGCGTGGAAGCAGAGGTTGATGGTCTTTACTCCCCTCCACAACCTTTCTCCTGGACTTTATCGGCTTCCAGGAGTCGGAGAGGACGAGGGGACAGGAGGAGGGGGAATGAACAAGGCGACATTATACGTGTCGTCGGATATCCTTCACGAGGCGCTGTCTGCCTGGAGCAAATTTACGACGCAACTCCTGGAGCTCCTCTTGAGGTTCTCCTTCTCCCTCTCGAGCATCTGCAGCTTCTTTCTTCACTTAAGGAACGCGCAGTCCTCCGCGGAAGGCAGGTGCGTACTCAGCGGTCTCTTGCCGAGGACGTCGTAAGTGGCCGTCAACTTGGCCACCGCCTGCCACAGGTAGTGGACGATTCTTCCCTGTATATTCTTAGACCGTTCCACCGCCTGGGCGATCGTCTCGATGGCCTCCACCAAGACAACAGCCATGACCTCCGACGGTTGCAGCTCGAGGTCCTGTTTCAGACCTGCGGCCTCCCAGAAGCACCTTTCTCTCCTCTTGGATAAGGACATCATAGTGATATCGGCCGCGAACTCGCCGTTCTTCCTGATTTTTCGGGCGAGAGTCTCCAAGGTTCGCTGTCTCTTGGCCTCCGTCGTGAATTCCTTGTGTTGACGGGGGTGGTTGATGCCTCGGGGTTCAATCCCTCCGTAGAACGCGTAATTTCCGTGTTCGATGGAGTCAAGGAAGGAATTCTAAAAAGCAGAACGCGGACCCGTTTAATTCTAGCGAGGTCCGCAATAGATTTGCCAGAACACGCCGATGTAATCGAGCTCTCTTTGGGCCTCTTCTTGTTTTTGTCGGAGAAGGCCTCCATGTTGCTTTTCCTCGTGTAGGAGGAAGAGATAGAGGCTTTGAAGGCCGTCGACGCATATCCTCAGTCCGTGGGAATGGGTTATGTGGGATTCGCACCCACAAAAACCCTCACCGGTGTCCTTCATAGGCCTGTTGGCGAGGATACCCTGGGCACGCGTGCAGCATTTTTCCAGGACGCCGTCAGGCTTGCCTAGCTGGTCGGCTCTTCCCCCAGCGGCCCTTTAACCGGAACCGCCGGTGCCCCTTTGGGGCAATGTCTGACCGCAGGCGAGAGGGGGACACCGCCCCCCCTTCGCCTCACTCTCACTTGATTTTGTGAGGGAGAGCAGAGCCGACCCTGAGTTCCTGTTTAGGATTGACCTCCTCGCCCGGGAGTGACCCCGTCAAAGGGTAACTGTTTAGTGACCCCTACCGAGCCCACGTTCTAGTTGGGAGTGCGGTGGCTGAGTTATCACCGCATTCCCATGCACTCGCGACCGGGGCAGCGGGCCGAACAGGGAGGGTTTCGTTTTCCTCCAGGCCCGCGGCCGCCGTTACCGTCTTGGTCGCAACCGACTATTCCGCGACGTCGAGAGGCTAGGCGGAGCCGCCCGGCTGTTTCCGGGTGGGGCGGGGGGGAAGGGGGAGGCGGATCGAAGCGCGGCGGAATCTTGCACCAACGTCTCCCCCGGCCTCCCCGATCGGACCTACTTCGCTCCCGCACTCTTTCGGTCTCTTCCTTCCGAAGCATAAGGAGGCCTCACAGAAGGAGGAGACTGCCTTCCATGACTTCTCCAGCATGGCTCTGACCAGGGTCGACAGTGAGAGATCCCCGCCCACCGCTCCGGAGAGAAGAGGGCGCTCCGCGCTCCACGCCGGGCACACCTCCACAGTGTGCGACGCCGAGTCCACTTGGGCGTCACAATGATGACAAGCCGTGATCGATTCCTTTGCGATTCTATACAAGTACTCACCAATGCCGTGCCCTTTCGCGATCCAGTCCTGAAGATGGGGACCGACGGCTCTCATGACCCTGTTGGCATGTGTGCTTACTGTCGAGCCCGGAATGTACCGACAGTAAGCACACTTGCCACTGATCGATGACCCGGGAATGCATCACGGCCCCCGCGATCACAATGGTCCGTAAAAGAACGCCGCCAGCATATCTCGTCGCGCTGCCGCATCAGGGCCATGAAGGCTGGACATAATGCTAGTCAAGGCGTCAGCCAACCTGCCCAACCTGAGAGCAAGCTACTCGAAGTGAGCGCTGAATTCCCAGAGGCAGTCGATGGTGAGGCCCAGATATCTCATTTGGAACCCCACCTGCACTACTGTAGTTCCCACCCGAATTTCCACTGGAGGCGGTGGCCCCAACTTTCCGTCATAGACGAAAATAGCTTCCGTCTTATGGGGCTCCAGATGGGATTAGGTCACGAAGCTGATCACGATATCAATCGCGACGTTGGTGGCATGGGTCGCTTTCCTCCAGCCCCGCCCCCCTTCGATGATTAGGGTGTCGTCGGCATAGCATACCACATGACACCCCAGCGGGAGGGCTTGACTACCACGTCGTATGCAATGTTCCATAGCAGGGGGCCCAGCAGGGGGACCGATCTCTGTGGGACACCGCACGACAGTTCTCTCTCGTGCACTCCATCCCTGTCTCAGTGGAGCTTTCTGTGCCGGAAGTAATCCGTAATCATGGCGATCAGGTAGTCGGGCAGGCCATGGTAGGCGAGTGCACTACTCGGTCCCAGGAGAGGTGTTGAAAGCGTTGACGATATCAATGGATACCGTCCCCCCCCCCCTCGCTCACTATGGACCCCGTGAGGATCTGCACCTGCCGAATAACATCGACAGTCGAGCATCCCTCACGGAACCTAACACATCGATCAATAAGTCCCCGGTCTAGCAAAGAAAACACAAGTGTTACATAAAAATTCGAATTTATTTATCAATATAGTTTCCTTTTAAGGCAATACAATCAGTCCAACGCCTTTCCAAACATTCGATGCCGGTTTTGTAGAACGATTTTGGCTGATCCTCAAAATACGCATCAGTTTCGGCGATGACCTCCTCATCCGATCGAAATTTCTTCCCAGCGAGCATTTTTTTGAGCTCAGCGAATAGGAAATAGTCGCTGGGGGCCAAATCTGGCGAATACGGTGGGTGCGGGAGCAGCTGGAAGCCCAACTCGTTCAATTTAACCATCGTTGCCATCGATTGTTTTTGATCCACAGTGAGCAAACGCGGCACCCACTTCGAACACAGCTTCCGCATCGACAAATGATCGTGTAAAATGGTAAAAACACTTCCCTTGGATATCTTTACGATGTCAGCAATATCATCCAGCTTTAATTTACGGTCGGACAAAACCAATTTATGGACCTGCTTGATTTTTTCGGGGACAACTGCCTCATTTGGGCGACCAGAGCGGTGTGCATCGTCGGTGTCCGTACGACCGCGTTTAAAATCAGCATACCAGTCGATAATTGTTGATTTGCCTGGGGCAGAGGTGCCATAATGTTTGTCCAACCACTGTTTTGCCTCAACGGTGTTTTTTCCCATCAAAAAGCAGTGTTTAATGAGCACACGAAATTCCTTTTTTTCCATTGTTATGAAAATAACCAAATTAGCGTCACTAAAGCTTCAATAACTCACACAATAATGATCCGAATGACATATACATTTGACAGTACGCCTAAAAGGGTCTGTTCTTTCGAACCACTATGTACTTTTTGTGTTAGTGGCGCTCTCTATGTGTCAGACCGGGGACTTATTGACCGATGTGTTATATTGTTCCGGATGGAGATCGGGGTCCTCCCGGTACAGATGCCGGACGATGCGCTGAGCAACGATGCGTTCCAGCATCTTGTCCGCATCGTCCAGCAAGCATATGGGATGGTAGGCAGAGGGAAACTTCGCCAGCCTACCCTCTTTACGGAGAAGGACCAGATTGGCCCTCTTCCAGACAGGAGGAAAGCGACCCTGCCTGAGGCAGCTTGTGAACAGCCATCCACTTCTCCAAAGGCTAAGGCCCACACACAACTGTGTATGCCGTCCGGGACCGGGACTTTCGGGCTGCCTTCGAGACGGTGATACACCTGGGTCCTCTCGTCTTTACTGACTCCCAGCTCCTTGGACCATCCCACCGGCGAGCCAATGTATAGGCCGCTGTCCCTCGTAAGGAATAGGATGTCCATCACCTCTTCTAGAAGTTGGGGGACTAACTTCTCTACTAGCAGAGGTATCCAGGAGCGCGTCTTGCGCGTTATCACTTTGTATGGAAGCCTCCACGGGCGCCAATTAGCGTCAAGGTTGGGTCTTGGTCTTTCGAATGGCTACGCGAAAAGCCTTCCTCGCCTCTTCCAGCGAGGCTCTCGCAGCCGCCAACGTCGCTTCGTCCTTTCTGCGCCTCCGCATCCGCGTAAGGCGTCGCCGGGCTGTCACTGCTGCCGTCCGAAAGGCAGCGATCTCCGACGGTCACGCTAGGCAGGTTGGCGCGCCGCGGCATCGCGGCATCGACGCGTCCGAGACGCGGATATATAATAACCTAATCTAACCTTGCAACCGGCGGCAAATTTTTACATTAATAACATAAATGGTAATAAACACCACAATAACTCATTAATACAGGATATACATATACTTCCCCAGGACCCACAAATGCCAGCCAGCCACGTGCCGGATACGGAGTCCCAGAAATAATCTAGGAGATCACTGAGAGGGATGAAAGGATGGATACGTCCAAGTGACTACAAAGAAAAGAAGAAGAGACGTTTGTTTGACAGACTCACTGACATAATATTTATATTTATGTTAGGTTGTTCGGAAAGTAATTTCGTTTTTTCTTATGAAAATGAAAGACGATTTTCAATCAGACGCGTTTCAAATGATCATGAACGGTCGAATTCGATAAATTTAATCTCTCAGCGATCTCACGAGTTATTATTCGCCGGTTTGCATTAATTAATGCCTTTATTGTGTCATCAGCTTCAACTGGCCTTCCAGAACGTGATGCATCTTCAACATCAAAATTGCCGGATCGAAATTTTGCAAACCAGTTTTGGCACTGGCGTTCTGTCAATACATCTTCTCCATACACATCGGATAATTTTTTTCTTGCTTGAACAGCATTTTTACCTTTTCGATAGTAAAAAAGTAAAATATGCCGAAAATGCTGCTTTTCACTTTCATATTTGATAGGGCACCAACCAAAAACTACTGCGTAGAATCAATCGAACTTTTTTCACAAGCAAGCCTGGCTATATCAGCTGTCAAAATATATAATGATTATGCGGCTTAAGTGTGAAGTTGGCTGTGAAAAAATACAATAAGTCCTCTGTTGGGAAAAAACGAAATTACTTTCCGAACAACCTAATAATATTCATAGTGTTATTTTTTTATATATATCTACTTCATATGAGGTCGCGCGGCTAGCAACACGGAATCCGAGGAGCGTGCACATTTGTCGGTGCTTCGACGCAGCGGCAAAAAGTAGAGAGAGAACGGGCGGGATAGAATAGCGAGATAGCGTCTGCCATGACTGTAACACATTCTGTATTTTCCTTGTACTTTTATATAGCATATTTAACTAGTGCATAGTCTTGTTGGATGTTCCTTCCGCAAAATCCTATCCTACAAAATTTGAGGGCTTGTCCGAGATTCAGCGAAGAATAGATCGACGAGAATCGGACGACGAGAGGATCGCATGATGACGTGAAAAGTCTCAAGCTTCAGCAATAAGTTGATCAAAAAGTTGAAACAGTGTGTAAGTTGAACACTATGATCAATTGCTACGCGTAAAGTTCTGAGTTGACCGTGAAAGTAATCCGCGACTGCTACGACGCGAAACGTAGTTCTTAACCTCAGTTGCAAAGTCATTTCAGTTGCTAAATCGCAAACAGCACGATGGTCGATTTCGATCCGCAAGGAAGTAGCCGAGGCGAACGCACGACAAAGAATATCAAAGATGTAAAGAAGGACAAGCAGAAATCAGATGACCTGCAGTCCATAGTATTCGAGAAAAACGAAACATCGCTTCCATGAGAATAGTCGATCTCAAAGACGTGAAAAAATTAAATGCATCCACCGCTGTCAACAAGCCTGGATTGCAAAATAAATTGCGGTTTCTTATAGCGCGAAGAAGCCCTGAGATAGCGGCAGCATTCAGCAAAGACGTTACAGCAGAATGGTGAAGAAGAAGCAGTTAACGAAAATATAGCCAATGATGATGAAACAACGAGCGAGGACGATATGACGAACTACGAAGATGTCGTAGACGGACAAGAGATAGTACGAAGCAAAGTACACAAGCGAAGCAAGACACGCACAGAGTGACGAGAAACAGACAGATAGGGCGTATTGAGACTGAGTATAAAGAACGACTACAAAGAGCGTCATAGGAGAGATGAGACGCCCAACACCGATACTGACATTACCTCACTCGACTGAATGAGCATGGCGAATCAACGCCGAACAACAGAAACAGAGAATATGTACGTAGCAGATTCATTAATAAAGATGTCGAAGGCAGCCTAACGTACTTCACAGGCGACGACAATCACAGGCGACGAAGCTGCCAGTCGAGAAGTGGATTGCAGAATTTGAGGACACCAGCGATTTGCTTCAATGGAATGAGGTATAGAAATTAATTTATGGCAAACGTATCCTGAAGGGAAACGTTTTATATCATTTCGGCGAAACGTTTTATATCATTCAAGAAGAATGTCACATCGTCTACAAAAATTGAAAGCAGAGTTCAAGGTTGAATTAAATAGCGCACTAATACATGGCCAACTATTCAAGCACCGACGCTAGTCTAGAGAAAGTAGTAGACAATATATTTATGTCATGCAGAAGATCAAGGAGATATTGAAGAAGATGCTCTAATACAGTATACAGTCCACGGACTATCAGACGATGAAGGCAGCAAAGCATTGCTTGTGAAGTGTGCATAATACGTGAATTGAAGAAGAAGCTTGAAGTATGATTCTGTTAAAGAAAGAGCACAGCGAAAGAAAACCGTGAAGAAGGGCAACTCCAAGAAGCGCCAAGGAAGCCAAGGAAGGAACAGTTCAAATCAAGTCACAAGTTGGATAAGAAACACTGCTTCAACTGTGGATTGAGCGAGCATAACGTCAAGAGCTGTACTAAGGCCGATAAGGGCCTAAAATGTTTTAAATGCAACAATTTCGGCCATAGCTTCAAAATGCGACTTTAAGCAAACCTCTGTAGTGGATACGACGCTGATTGTTGGGAGTTGCATAGATAGAATAAGTGATAAATTTATTCTAGTTGATGTTGCAGGATAGAAGTATCGTGCCTTACTTGATAAGCGACGTCAATCTAATACAAAATGATGTGTGCAGAAATATTGGTAAATCTGAGCTGAACAAGATTACCCGAATTTTCACAGGGAACGTCACTATTAAGCTAAGTGATACTTTTCTACTTAAGTTATCTATAGGAAATAACGACTATGAAATCGAGACTTTTGTGATCCCTACAAACTGCATGACCATTAAACTAATATTGAGACGCGACTTTTTACAAAATGTCAAAGTTGTTATAAAAAGAGAACAAATCAGAGTTACGCGTTTACTCAACGAAGGGAAGATTGAGAAGCTAGACTACGTTGAAGAGAACACCGCTGCGAAGATTGAGGAACCAGTTTGCTCTGAAGAAGATTCCGAGGATGGGCGAAGAACTGACCGTGCTACCATGTACCGTCATTGATGAGATCGAAGCGCCTGAGCGTTATAAAAGTAGAATCGAGACTATGATTGCGGAATATATCAACCGAGAAAAGATGTCAAAATTCCAGTCAATTCGAATTGTTTTGAAAGACGAGATTCCAGTTAATCACCGCGCTCGTAGGCTAGCATCCAAAGAGAAAAAGGTGATCAAATACGTGAATGGTTGCAGTCAGGTATCATTAAACCGAATCGCAATAAGTATGCCAGTTCGGTCGTTATTGTCGTAAAAAAGATGGTTCGAGTCGTGGACTATTGAATCGTAGACTATCGGTCTTTAAATAAAAAGATAAGTCACGACAAGTGTCCCATGCCTCTAATTGACAGTACAATAGATGCGCTTGTAATCTTTCGAGTTTTCTTGGTACTCGACTTAAAGAACGGATTTTTCCATATTCTGGTTAGTAAAGAGAGTCAAGCCTATACCATCTTTGTGACACCAACGGGTCAATACGAATTTACTAAAACGCCTTTTGAACTCTATAATAGTCCGACTAGCTTTTTGAGATTTATAAGTAAAGTATTTCGAGATTTAATTCAAAGATCTATATTCACTTATATGGACGACATTATTATACCAGGTTCTAATGAGGATGATGCATTTTCCAGATTAACAGAGACATTAACAGTTGCAGTTAATAATGGCCTTGATATTGGAGAAAATGCAATTTTGCGTGTCGAATTTTTAGGCCACATTATAGAGGAAGATTGCGTTAGACCATCGCTGATAAAAATTAAAATTATTCAAGGCTTCCCACAGCCCATGATATTTAAACAGTTGTAGAGCTTTTTAGGATTCAAGGTATTTTAGAAAATTTATCAAGGATTGTGCAAAAATAGCTTACCTTCTATACGAGTTAAAAGGAGGGCTGCATTTTTATTGCGTACAGTCGCAATTAGCTTTTACACGGTTGAAAGAAACTCTGTCGAAAGATTACTTTCGACTTCATACTTTCGAAACAATACTTTAAATACAATATATGATCCAGAAGATATTACTGAGCTATATACGGATGCCAGTAAATATG